AGTTATAATAAAGTGTAAGAAGGCGAAGTAAGATTCAAAAAGGCTTGCAGTACAAAAGTATCCATTTTAAACGATCAATCAGAATGAGAACATAAACAGAGATGAGAGAAGAAATTCGATAAATTCCAACTGTCATACAGGAGATATGGGGGAAGGGAATTCCCTCAGCCTATATGTAACAAACTGCTCCTCATTGAGGACTTGAGACTTGGGCAGTGTGGGGTTGAATTCCAACACTTCATACCAGGTAACATGAGAAATGCTGTTTTTAATCTAAAGATGCCTTTCACCCCTGTCTTCTTTTTTTCCGGATTGCTTCTCTAAAAGGGAATGATGAAAGACTACTGGCCAGAACATCTAAACCTGCCCACGGACCTTTAAGAAGAACAAAGACCAATACAACTCCTATTGAGACTCCTTCAGACAAGCAAGGGGAGAGATGCCATGTTTTCTTTGTGAAATTCCACTGGGCAGCAAAGTGATGAGGTGACGAGATAATTTATTGTGGACTAGTGACTATTAAGACTAGCATAGCTTTAAAACACATATATCCACTCTGCTGTTCAACATTTTGAAAACAAACATGACTTCACCTTAAAAAAAAATCAGTGCCCTCCAATCCCACATGGTTTTCTCCAAAGTCTACAGCCACGAAGTCTCCGTGCATCATTTTTTCTTTTTCATATCATTTTACAGATTGAGCATCCCAAAATAAACGAAATGTCAGGAAAAATGCCTCTAGAACATGGCCATATAGCCCGAAAAAACCCACAAGAACCTAGTGATTCCAGCCATGAAAGCCTTCGACAATACATCCCAAAATACTCTCAAATCGCAAACTGTCCATATGGGTGGCTGAGATGAGTGACACCTTTGCTTTCTGATGGTCCAATGTACACAAACTTTGTCACATACAGAAAAAAACATGATAAAATACGTATAAAAATGGGCTCTGTGAATAAGATGTCTATGAAACATGAATGAATGTTGTGTTTAGACTTGGATCCCATCTCCAAGGTTGCACTATACTGTAGAATTAATGCAGCTTTAAACCACTTTATCTGCCACTGCTCATTGCTATGACCTTGAGCATGCGGCCTGCTCATTGTGATTGTGTTTGATTTTCTATTGTATTACTTTGCACTGTTTATTGTATTTTATGCTTGATTTATTTTATTGTGATGTTATTTTATGCTTTTTATTTTATTGTATTGTAATGCACTACTGGGCTTGGCCTCATGTAAGCCGCCCCGAGCCCCCTTTGGGATTGACAAGGAGTCCCCGGTGGCACAGTGGGTTAAACCCCTGTGCCAGCAGGACTGAAGACCGACAGGTCACAGGTTTGAATCCGGGGAGAGCGCGGATGAGTTCCCTCTATCAGCTCCAGCTCCCCATGCGGGGACATGAGAGAAGCCTCCCACAAGGATGGTAAAAACATCAAAACATCCGGGTGTACCCTGGGCAACGTCTTTGCAGACAGCCAATTCTCTCACACCAGAAGTGACTTGCAGTTTCTCAAGTTACTCCTGACATGACAAAAAATTCTCTAACAAGTGAATGATGCTGTTGCCTCCCCAACCTACAATTCAAAGGATTCCATAGCATGGAGCCAAGGGAGTTACAAGTGGCATCAAACCGTATTAATTCCACAGTGTGGATGCATCCCAATATATCTCATTACTTCATGGAGAAGGCTAAATTAAAATCTTTCTCTGTTGCATGCTAATGATTCATGGTCTGAACATACTGTATTGGCAAATACAGGCAGTACAAAATTTGTAAAAATCCAAAAGATTAGGACAGGGAGCAACAGATTCAAATAGTAGGAAAAGAGACTCCACCTAAACATTAGGAAGAGCCTCCTGGGGGGTAAGGTCTGTTCGGCAGTGGAGTAACTTTTTATTCAGACAGCCCTTAACTGTTGAGCACAGACTATTTGGTAAACCACATCCTAATCTTTTTTATATACTGGTTTTAAACCACTTCATTGGATGTGTTGCAACAGCAGATTCCCAGATTAGTTTAATGGTTACACCTTATTTTATTTTTTTAGTTATTTAATATTTATTTTGCTTAAGTGATATTTGTCTTTACTATTCTAATGTACCACAAATCCTATGTAAAATCATACTACGTATTTTTAATATTAATATTGAAATCTGAAATATATACAGAAAGTCTTTATTCCACTTACATCTCCACTTACAAACCTGCTCCGGTACAACGATCAGCAGAGTAGGCCTTGCTCTCAGTCCCACTCCCATCTCAAGCACAGCTGGTGGGAATGAGAGAGACTTCTCTGTGATTGCCCCACCTCTGGAACTTTCCCCCCAAAGGCATCAAAACGGCCCCCTCCTTACTATCTTTTAAAAAATGATTAAAAATTATTTTTGCTCTCAAGCATATTCATAGAATCATAGAGTTGGAAGAGACCTCGTGGGCCATCCAGTCCAACTCCCTGTCAAGAAGCAGGAAAATCTCATATTGAGACAAGAAGGCATAGAATATCATGCCTCACCATAGAGTGGAAATGTCTGGTCACTCTGGCTGCCGACTGCAAAAATTCCAGTATTTTGACCTTATTTTGCTTTGTTTAGATTCTGGCTGTTTCTTCCCAATGTAAGCTGTGGAATCATATATTTGTTATTTTATTATTTAATTCTTGTTAGTATGTGGTTACGTTTGATGTAGAGGTGGTTTGTTTTGGATGAGGATGGGGTGGATTATTTTGTCTCGGTCTAGTTTCATGGCACTGAACATTTGCCGATATTTCTTGTTAATTTTTTAAATATTTATATTTCATCCTGTTTTAATGTTTGCTTGTTTTTATATTTAAAATCATATGTTGGAGCTTCCGGTGGTACAATGGGTTAAATCCTTGTGCCGGCAGGACTGAAGACCGACAGATCAGAGGTTTGAACCTGGGGAGAGCACGGATAAGCTCTCTCTGCCAGCTCAAGCCCCACATGAGGGGACATGAAAGAAGCCTCCCACAAGGATGGTAAAACACCAAAAACATCCGGGCGTCCCATGGGCAATGTCCTTGCAGATGGCAGTTTCACCACAGAATTTCCCAACCTATCCAGCTCCTGCACTTTAACATGGTCTCTGTTTGGCACTTCTAACACTTTAATAGCGTAGGGACATTTGCCTCCTAGCCCAGCCCTCCAATTGTTGCACTTTCCCTGTCTCTACTTAGGATTCATTGCACTTCATAATTATGAACCGAACCCAGCACTTTATTTGCTCAGCTATGATATTGCTTTTAATGTTTGTATAATGTTGTCTGATTTTATGTTTATTGATATTTAATACTGCTTGTCTTTTAAATCCTTATTTTAATCTTTTTTGGGGGGGGGGGATGTCCCTTTGTAAGCCACCCCAAGTCCCTTCAGGGAGATGGAAGCGGGGTATAAAAATAAAGGTTGTTGTTGTTGTTGTTGTTGTTGTTGTTGTTGTTATTTCACACCAGAAGTGACTTGCAGTTTCTCAAGTCCTGACACGGAAAAAAAATGATTATATGCTGATGCTTTAATGTTAAGCTATATTGAGTCTCCTGCAGGAGAGATAAAGTGGGGTATGAATAAATATAGTAATCTATATAAATAAAAATGTAATGTTCATTTATGGGATTAACATAACTCAAAAACCACAGGATGAGTTGACACAAAATTTGGACACTACACCCCTAACAAACCAATGAGTGACCATCACTCATAAACCCCTCCCAAAATATAGCAGAAAGGACTTAAAAAACCCCCAAAGCTAAATGACAATACAGCGCATGCGCAAAAATGATGGATCCCAGCATCCCCTAGACCAGGCCCTTTAGCTTCCAAGCTGCATGGTTGCTTCTCCTTGGATTTCTTTGAGACCATCCCAATCCATACATATTTCCTATTCCTGGACTGCAACTCCCAGCAATCCTCGAGATAGATAAGATATATAGATTAGAAAGAGATAGATAGTAGGTAGATAGATCAATCAGGAGGGCTGCTATCAATCAGGAGGAGTTACAGTACGAGAATAGGTAGAGAAGGAAGAAAGGAGAGAAAGAAAGGGGGGGAGGAAAGAGGTAGAGAAGGAAGGAAAGAAAGAGAGAAGGAAAGAAAAAAGGGAGGGAGGGAAGAGAGAAAGAAGGAGAGAAAGAGGTAGGAGAAGATTGGCCACAGTAACATGTGGCAGGTACACAGGGGTGGCTCATCCCATTACACAAAGTAAGCATTTGCAGTATAGTTGATTTTGCCCAGGGGTGCTCTTGAGGCGCTCTTGGGGGAAAATAGACCTTGACATATGCGAGTTGTAGTTACTGGGATGTATAGTTCACCTACAATCAAAGAGCATTCTGAACTCCACCAATGATGGAATTGAACCAAATATGGCACACAGAACTCCCATGACGAACAGAAAATATATATCAATGATTGGTTGGGGGGGGGGGTGCCAAAATACTGTTTGCTTACCGTTGAAAATTACCTAGGGCTACCTCTGCAGGTACAGCTAGTAGTACTAATAATACTCTGCTGTCTGGGAGCATAGTGGAGTCTCCTTCTCTGGAGAGAGAGGCTGGAAGGCCATTTGTCTGGGGTGCTTTGATTGTGTGTCCCTGCATGGCAGGGGAGCTGGACTAGATGGCCCTTGGGGTCCCTTCCAACTCTGTGATTCTTTATCAAGCATGAGCAAACTTGGGCCCATCCAGATGTTTTGGACTTCAATTCCCACCATTCCTAACAGCCTCAGGCCCTTTCCTTTCCCCCCTCAGCCGCTTAAGCGGCTGAGGGGGAAAGGAAGGGGCCTGAAGCTATTAGGAATGATGGGAGTTGAAGCCGAAAACATTTGGAAGGGCCCAAGTTTGCCCATGCCTGTTCTATCTAGTCCCTAGCATTGTGTACAACCTGTAGGTCCCTGTGGGAGGAGAGGCGCAGGTGTCAATCAAGCGCCTGGCGGCCAATGGCGCGTCAGGTCCCGCCCCGGAGCGCGCGGCGGGTCTTGGCGCTCACCTTGTGGTCGAGGACGCTGATGTAGCCTTCCAGTGGGCGGGCGGAGAGCGCGGGTGGGCGTCGCGCGCTGCTGGGGCTGCTGCTGCTGAGCTGCAAAGGGCTGGCAGGCTTCTGGCTGGCTGTCACCGCCACCTGCTGCTGCTGCTGCTGGCTTGGCTCTTTCTGGCCTTCTCCACCACCGCTTCCTCCGATCCCTCCGCTTCCTCCTCCGAGGCTGCCGTACAAGAGCAACAAGCTAGTGCACATGGTGGTGAGCGCAAAAGACACCGCCAGCCCATGTCGCTGCAAGGGGGACAAGGAGACACACTGAGAGGGACGGCGAGCTAGAAAGGGGCCGCGTGGAGGAGACGGGGCGGGGGGCCCTTTCACAGCCGGCACCCTCATTCATTAAAGGCACAGGAGGCCTTTGCCCCCTCCCTCTTCCTTCCCACGCATAGCATCCCGCTGTTACTTCTTCGCACCTTGACCCCGCCCCTCCCGCCAATCCTTCAGGTGCGCGCGCGCGCCTCGCGTGGCCCAATGCCTTCTCCCTCCCTCCCGCCACTCCTCCTTCTCTCCCTCCCTTGTTGTTAGTTAGGCCAAGCTCTTTAGGGATGTGTTAATGTGCCAGGGTTGGCGCCAACACGGTGGCATGAATGCACTTCCACGCCCCTTGGATTGGTAGCCAAGGGATCCTGGAAGAACAGCGCTCAAAAACAGGGGAACTCCAGACAAGAAACAATCAGGGACAGCTAATCACCTCCCAACAAAGAATTCCCCCAGGCAGTAAGAAAGCCTCACGTTGAAGCTGCTAGGTGGCCAATTGAAACATTCACACCTATATTATGTGTTAATGTTTTAAAATGTTTTATGGTGTTTTTGGGCATCGAATCGTAGTAAATAAATACCTCCAGCAGACCTTTCTCCCACCCTGGACATTCCACAGATATATAAACCCCATTTTTCTAGCTTCCAACAGAGCCCTCAACCTCTGAGGATGCCTGTCATAAAGGTGCAGGCGAAATATCAGGAGAGAATGCTTCTGGAACATGGCCAGACAGCCTGAAAAGCTTACAACAACCCAGATCCTGGAATTTACAGTTTTACAACTGATCCCATAAGCATTGATTCTAATCATTGATTATTCTATTGATTTACAACTCATCCCATAAGCATTCAGGAAAAGGGGTGTCAAATGGCATTCATTCCACGATGTAGGTGCACCCTTCTTTTCCCCTGCTACAAATTGACATTTCAGGACAGAACCCCATTTCCTTTATCTAAGGGCCCTTCCACACAGCCAGAATATCCCACAATGTCTGCTTTGAAGTGGGTTATCTGAGTCCATGCTGCCATATAATTCAGTTCAAAGCAGAGAATGGGGGGTTTTAAACAAAAGATTCCCCCAGGAAGGAAGCAGCCAGGCTTTGAAGCTGCTAGGCTATCAGGACAACATTAAATTGCAACATTAAAAAAAACAGGGGAAATCCAGACAAGAATCAATTGGGGCCAGCTAACACCTCCTAACAAAGGATCCCTTAAGGCAGCAACCAACCAGGCTTTGAAGCTACAAGACCATTAAATGCTAATCAAGCTGGCCAATAGAAACATTCATATTTGTCTCAGGAGTTCTTTCTCCCATTCTGGACATCCCACAGATCTATAAACCCCACTTGCCTAGTTTCCCACACACCTCACAACCTCTCTGAGGATGCCTGCCATAGATGTGGGTGAAACATCAGGAGAGAATGCTTCTAGAACATGGCCAGACAGCCTGAAAAACACAGCAAACCAATGTAGGATTTTATTAAGCTGTGTGGAAGGGCCCTGATTTCCTTGATCCTTGTTTGCATTCTCTATAGTTTCCCTCTTTCTTATTCCCTTTGAGGGGTTCTTTCTGCTGTCAACCTTCAATGTGTACTATTGCCACCTGGACGAGGGAGCTACATTCAATTGAAAAGGCAGGAAAAGAGGCATGCAACCTGAAGAGTATCCATTCTATACCACCAATAAAGAGGCCCCGGTGGCATAATGGGTTAAATCCTTGTGCCAGTGGTTCGATTCCGGAGAGAGCTGGTTGAGCTCCCTCTGTCAGCTCCAGTTCCCCATTTGGGGAGAAGCCTCCACAGGATGGTAAAACATCAAACATCTGGGTGTCCCCTGGGCAATGTCCTTGCAGGCAGCCAATTCTCTCACACCAGAAGCGACTTGCAGTTTCTCAAGTTGCTCCTGACATGGAAAAAAAGTCCATTCTACACCAGTCAAGATGGGAGCAGAATGAGAGAGAGAGAAGGAATAGATTCATTTCAACTGACATTCAGGAGCCAGAGGGGAAGAGATTCCCTCAGCCTGTTCTAAAGCTAACTAGCTGTTCCTCATTGAGGACTGTAGACTTGAGCGGTGTGGGGTTGACTTCCAACACTTCTGCTATTAACCTTCAACAGGTACTAATAGGGAACTAATAAGAAAATGATCAAATGAAAAGGAAGGAAAAGAGTACTGATGAAGGCTTTCATGGCCAGAATCACTGGGTTGTTGTGAGTTTTCTGGGCTGTATGGTCATATTCCAGAAGCATTCTCCCCTGACATTTTGCCCACATCTGGCAGGCATCCTCAGAGGTTGTGTAAGTCTGTTGGAAACTAGGCAAACAGGGTTTATATATCTGTGGAAGGTCCAGGGTGGGAGAAAGAACACTTATCTGTTGGAGGTGAATGTTTCAATTGGCCACTTTGCTTAGCATTGAATAGCCTTGCAGCTTCAAAACCTGGCTGCTTTCAGCCTGGGGAAAGGTGGAAGGGGAGGGAGAGAAAGGTCCCAAAGTGGAATTATGGTTGCCAAAGACAAAGGAGGCATGTGCGGGAAAGGAAGGTTTTGAGAAGGAGAGAGAAAGCAAGAGAACTGGGAGACTAGACAGGAAACAATCAGGGCCAGCTAACACCTTCCAACAAAGGATTCCCATGGGCTAAAAGCAGCCAGTCTTTGAAGCTGCAAGGCCATTCAATGCTAATCAAGGTAACCAATTGCAACATTGGTGAGTTCATTCTCCCACCACTTGTCTAGTTTCCAACAGACCTCACAACCTCTGAGGATGCCTGCCATAGATATGGGCGAAACGTCAGGAGAGGATGCTTCTGGAATATGGTCAGACAGCGCGGAAAACTCACAACAACACAGGAAAAGAGGTTCTTCTGATGGAAGGGGAGGTGTGTGTTCATTCTATCGCCAAGAGTGGCCTTTAGGAGAGGAAAGCACGATGATGATGGTGGTGGTGGTGATGATGATGACAGCTGAATGTCAATTCCTGGGGAAAGGCGAGAGAATCCCTTCCCTTCCTTGCAAAGGATCCTTGTTGGGAAGTGCGGTTGGCAGCTGAAGGGACGACCCTTTTGCTTTCTCTCCCCTTCTCTCTCTCTCTCCTCCTTTCCCTTTGGTGACCATAATTCCACTTTGGGACCCCTCTCTCCTTCCCTTTCCACCCTTTCCTCGCCATCTCCTGTACCTTGATTCTGCCTTGCTTGCCCCTTTCCCCCGCCGCCACCCCTCAACCCAAGCTTCCTCACCTTCCGCCCAAAAGGAGGCTGGAAAGTTGCCTTCCTTCCTTCCTGGATCCCTAGCCAGGTGGGGATGGGGCTGAACTTGGGCTCTCTTTCTCCCAGCCAGGTGGCGACCCCTTGACTTACCACCAGCGCCTTCATTTTCGTGCGCCTCCTTTGCTATGGCACGCCGCCGCTGCCGCCTCAATGAGCCCCCGAAGCCACTTTTGCCTCTTCCTCCTCCTCCTCTTCCTCCTCCTCTTCTAAGGTTTCCATTGCCAAGGCGCCCCCGGCATGGTTCCTTCTTTGGCGAGAGGCAAGGAGAAATAGAAATCAGGCGGAGATTCAGCCCCGGTGCTAGATCCCAACCTTGAGCTTGCTGTGGGAAGCGCGGCTGTGGCAGGGATTAGAGGCAGAATTAAAACTGGACCCTTTTAGAGTCTCCCAGTGAGCTGCACAACTCCCGCCTCCTGGAGACGCGCCCTGGGTCCTAAAGCCGCCCCGCTCCTTGACTCTACTCCTTAGACTCCAAAGCCGACTGCTGGCTCGTCTTCTCTTATTCCTGATCCATGTTACTTGCAGGAAAAATAACATAAAATACACTCCACCGTCTTCCACCGTGCCATCTTCAATCAGTGGGTGGTCTCCTGATCAACTGAAGTGCCATGCTTTGCCAGCGCATCATCATTCTCTTTGGCCGCATCATTTCCCTTTCTTCTGACAAGACGTTCAGTGGCTTTTATTCTCTGGACGTTAAGAATCATTCCCTCTTCTTTTTTTCTGAAGTATTTTGCTCAGTTGAACTCCTATGAAGCTGAATATGACTTGCTTCTGAGGTCCCTTCCACACAGCTGTATAAAATCCCACATTTTTTGCTTTGAACTGAAATATATACATACATACATCTTCTATATATAAATAAAAATATAATGTTCGTTTGTGGGATTAATACAACTCAAAAACCACTGGACGAATTGCTGCCAAATTTGGCCACAAGACACCTACTAATCCAAGGAGTGACCATCACTCAAAATTGATTTTGTCATTTGGGAGTTGTAGTTGCTGGGATTTATAGTTTACCTACAATCTAAGTTGTAGTTGCTGGGATTTATAGTTTACCTACAATCAAAGTTGTAGTTGCTGGGATTTATAGTTTACCTACCAATGATGGAACTGGACCAATCTTGGCACACAGAACTCCAATGACCAACAGAAAACACTAGAAGGGTTGGGTGGGCATTGACCTTGAGCACTATGGACTCAAACAATGATGGATCTGGACCAAACTTGACACAAATACTCCATATGCCCAAATGATAGAGTTTGGGGAAAATAGACCTTGACATTTGGGGGTTGTAGTTACTGGGATTTATAGTTCACCTATTCTGAACCCCACCAATGCCAGAATTGGGGCAAACATACAGAACCCCCATGACCAACAGAAAATACTTATGGCCATCCTGTCCAACTCCCTTCACCAAAAAACGTAATCAAAGCCCTCCTGACAAAGAGCCATCCAGCCCTAGATATAGATAGATAGATAGATATGATGCACACACACACACAGATATAGTATCATAGATTTGAAAGGGAACCTAAAGAAGGACAATTATATGTTGCATGTTCCAAAATATGCAAACCAGACAATCTTCACATCAACACTGATAAAGAAACAACAAGAAATACTGTTTAACCACAAGCATAAAGAAATTACATATATTAGAAACCAACACTTTCTCATTACTTTATTTTGCAGATAACCAGACTGCGCCACAGTTACGTGTGGCAGGGGAGGGCTAGTATCTATATAAATAAAAATGTAATGTTTGTTTGTGGGATTAACATAACTCAAAAACCACTGGGCGAATTGACATCAAATTTGGACACAATGTACCTATCAGGCCAACAAGTGATCATCAGTCATAAAAACATTGAAAAACACAGTGGAAGAGATTTAAAAAGCAAAAAAACAACAAAACAAAAAAAAACAACATTACAATGCATGTGCAAAACCACATATATACACATATACACAAATATATGCACACACATATATACACACACAAAACACATATACACAGAGTGGGCCACAGCAACGCATGGCAGGACTATATATAGGGCAGGACTATTAAACCCGCCAGAGTGGAAATCATCTATTGGACAGATGGCACGCTATTTAACCTCAGCAGACAAAGCCAAACCATGGTCACAACAACATCTGTTAAAGAACTCCAATATGCTGATGATAACGTAGTATGTGCGCATTCAGAAGAAGACATACAAACCATTCTAAACACCTTTGCAGAAACATATGAGAAGCTCAGCTGCTCATTGAACCTTGAGAAAACCAAACTGCTCTTCCAGCGGTCACCAGCCAATCCCTCTCCAGTGCCAGAAATACAGCTAAATGGTGTAATGTAGGAAAATGTTGACCATTTCTGCTCCCTTGGCAGCCAACTCTCTACAAAAGTCAACATTGATACTGAAATACAACCCTGAATGCAGCATTTCTCCAAATGAAGCAGAGAGTGTTTGAGGATTGGGACATCTGTATGGAGACCAAGGTGCTTGTTTTACAAAGCTATTGTCCTTCCAACCCTGCTATACGCCTGCGAAATGTGGACTGTCTACAGACGTCACACTCAACTTCCCCCGGGGAATTCACTCCCCGGGGAAATTAGATCTGCAACATTGCTCCTTTCCTTTAGGAAAAAACTGAAAACATGGATTTGGGACCAGGCATTCGGACAATCGGGCAGATAAAGAAAGGACTTTGACAATGATTAGGAAATGATTAATGGAATAGAACTATGGAACTCTGAAAGACGAAACACTGAGCATGAGAATAGTTTTTATATGATATGTTATATACTGATTGTTTGGATTGTTTTAACTGTGATAATTGTTTTAACTATGGTTTTGTACATTATGTGTAATTTGTATAGGCATCGAATTGTGCCTTTTTTGTAAGCCGCCCTGAGTCCCCCCTCGGGGGTTGAGAAGGGCGGGGTAAAAGTACCCAAAATAAATAAATAAACTCCTGGAATGATTCCACTAGCATTGCCTTTGAAAAATCCTGTAAATCTCTTGGGAAGGCAGGCAGACAAATGCCAGCATGCTGGAAGAAGCGAAGACCACCAGCATTGAAGAGATGCTCCTATGCCATCAATTCCATTGGTCTGTCCACATTGTCTGAATGCCTGGTCACTGTTTCCCAAAGCAGTTACCATACTCCCAATTCAAGAATGGAAAATGGAATGTTGGTGGACAGGAAAAGAGATTTAAAGATGGACTTAAAGCCAATTTAAAAAATGGTGGCATAGACACCGAGAACTGGGAAGCCCTAGTCCTTGAGCGCTTTAAAATGTTTCCATTTTCTTGTTTTTAGATAAAACTTACCCTGTTAAAAGGAAATGTCCCTTTTGTGTTTTTTTATACGTGTCGTATTTTCTTTCTCTCACTTATGCTGTGTTAATGATGCACATTTAATTTGGTATAAACCTTGATAAATTAACTTAAATCATGCGCATTTCATGCTTCTGGGAGTCCGTGTTCCATTGTGTACCCTTCAGGTTGGCTTCCTACGAAGCGGTTTATGTGGCCGCACAATACCCTTTTAAAATAATATTCACCTCTTTGTTGTTTACAAAGTTCTCCCTGAGGTATTCCAAGAAAACCATAACAGTAATAAATAGCATGATATGCAACCTGTAGCTATCTAGTATTAAATATTACATTAAGGAGAAAATTATCAGCAGGCTAACTCATCCATGGTTACAAATGATGCGTGCGTGTATTTTCAAGGCTGAAATTGAAGCCAGCTTCCATTTTTCATCTTCACTAATTCATTCATGGACCAACAGTGGAACAAATGCTATCTCTAGTATATTAACACAATCACACTGCAGTCCAGTATAATGTCTATTCAGAGGTAATCCCTGCTGAGTTCAGTGATACTTACTTCCAGGCAAGTTATGTATAGAACTGCAAGTTTAGATTGTGAAAAAAATGCCTGGAGAAGCAGGTAGGAAGATGAGAAAGGAAGAAGGACAAGTAATCATTTTGAACCGGTGCTTGGTAGCTATGATGGTCTGTATGAGGTCGAACAAATTGAAACTGAATCCAGACAAGACAGTCATAAGACCAAACAGGGTATAGGGATACAGCCTGTGCTGGACGGGGTTACACTCTCCCTGAAGACACAGGTTCACAGCTTGGGATTTCTCCTAGACTCATTGCTGAGCCTGGAACCCCAGGTTTTGGTAGTGGCCAAGGGAGTATTCACACAATTAAAATTTGTGCACCAGTTGCGCACATACCTTGGGAAGTCATACTTGGCCACAGTAGTCCAAGTTTTATTATTATAGTTTTATTATTGAGTCCCCCCAGGAGTGAGAAAAGCAGTATAGAAATGCAATAATTAAATAAGGGACCATACACGAGTAAATATGGAGCTGGGAGACTCAGGTTAGGAAGGGATGACAAAGGAGTGGGGAATGCAGTTCACACTGTTTTTGAAATGTCAAATGGATTAGTGGATGTGTACTATGATACTTCGGCATTTCAATGGTGAACGTGTTTCATCTTATTATGAAGACCGCTGGTAATGAAAATACTTTTGCTGTTTTTCTCCCTTTGTGCTCTAGGACTGAACAGCACCTCTAGACAAGCGATGCAACATGAAAAGAATCTTATCAGGTTCTGGCAACTTCTTATCGTGTGTTATCACTTGACTCTCAGATTAGTAAAACAAAGGGCCAGCTTGATGAATCACCGAAAGCAAATTAGTGGGGGTGCTTGAAGATTTTCTGCTATAGCGGACAGAAGACAGCTCAGCCGTTTAAAAGTATTTCTCCTTCCATCATGAGCAAGCAGTTTGCTGGCAACTGAGACATTTTCCCTGTATTATCCCATGCCAGACTCAAGCATCATATTTATGATTAAGGCTCATAGCTGTACGTTGGACATCTGTTATACAGTATGTCTAACGAAGTCATCAAGCTTATGAGTTGGGGTGATAGCGAGCTAGAGCTAGTTGCTGAGCCTATTGATTAAGTGGCCAGGCTAAATTTTGTAATTTAATGCTGAGCTTGCCTTGAATCATGTCCAGTTGCCAGATTCTCAGATATTTAATTAGATTGCTATCATGGTCATAGATACAATCCTTGGCAGCCCAAATGATGCCTTTACAAATAAAGAATGCAACGTACGTGCTGCAGGTTTTCTGGTGTTTCAAGGGAAATATATATAAATAAGTTGGAAAAGAGCCAATGCACTTCACAAAAATGAAATATATATATTTTAAAAAAAACAGCACAAGGAATATTTAATGGTATGCACATATATGTGTGCCTGGAAAAGTGAACAGATACACTCCTCTTAATAATTTAATTTGCAGGAAGTAGCAGTATAGGCCAAGTTCATAAACACTTAATTGACTTGGGAAAAAAGTCAATAAAGCATTTTTAAGAGTTCA